TCATTAACAAATTGGAATGCAAATGGGATCACATCCAAAAAAATAGAACTTACTCAATATTTACACACTGTAACATAGACATTGCTGGCATAACAGAGAATCACCTCAACAATAGTAATAAATTTTACATTCCAGAAAACCAATTTTATTGAAATGACAGGACTGAGCAAAAAGGAGGTGGTGGACTTATAGCAGTCAGGAATATTATAATCCATCATGAAATTAATATACCAAACATTACAGGAACTGAAACAGTAGCAATAACCCTAACAATGAACAATTAATCATGGAATATAATAACTACCTATAAACCTCCATCAATAAAAATACAACCTCAAAATATTCTTAATCTATTCACCCGAAACAAAAAAAACACATTAATATAAGGTGATCTAAACGCTAAACAGACAAATTATAAACAATACCACTATCAATATACTATCGCCTCCTGAACCAACATACTGTCCAAGAGACGTAACTAAACAACCAGACATCCTTGACATCGGACTGACTAACGGCAATATCAATTTTTACTCAACTCTGTATCATGAACTGGACTCTGACATCTTCCGGAAAATATACTTACTCGACAAATCGCACCCCCGCGGTCCCCAATCCCCAAAATAAACACACTTAAATTAAACTGGATTAAATTCCAAAATACAACCAGCAATTTAATACCAAAAATCAAAATTTTAAATAATTCTATGAAAATAGACAACGCCGTAATATTACTAAACACCATAATACATACAGCAATAAAAGAAACACAGCCCATAAATACACAAACACATAACAAAATTGATAATTCTTCCCTACCTGTAGAAATCAAAAACATAATATGCGTCAAAAATAGGACCAAAAGACTATGGAACCAAAACAAAAACTCACAAGTAAAAGCAGAATTAAATATATTAACTAATATAGTTAAGAAATCATTTAAAAAAATCATATAAATCACAAATTCCAGAACAAGATTCAATCTTTAACTGCACAAAACCGCTCTGTTAGGAAATTCACCGAACAAATACTAACAAAGAAAACAATAATTCCACCCATCAACTCACCGAATGGCAAGTTACTCCCCCCTACCGACAAGGCAGAGGAAATAGCCAATTGCTTCGAGTCGACTTTCACACTCAACCAATCTAAACCGCACCCGCAACACAATAATACTATAATATACTAATAAATAATTTGGGAGGTCAATAAACCTCCCAAACTACGGCCTTTATCACAAAATTCATTACACAAACCCTAAAGAAATAAAATAAATCATTAACTCTCTCCCGATAAAAAAACACCAGGTGATGATAATATCAATAATTCAATACTAAAACATTTACCAGCCCCCGCAATTGCATACGTAACAAATATATAGAATTCTTGCATCAGAACAAATCATTTTCCATCCACTTGGAAGCATGCCATCATTCTTCCGGTTCCGAAACCAAGTAAAAATTCAGCCAACGTCGACAGTTATCGCCCGATAAGCCTTCTACCATGTCTGTCTAAAATTTTCGACAAAATAATACTCTAACGTCTTAAAAACCATATCAAATAACAAAAGCAATCCCAAGAGAGCAGTTTGGATTCACTGATCATATATCCACATAATATCAACTCCTCAGAATCACAGTACATCTCAACATAGCATTTCAGAAAAAAACATCATACTATATTCATAGCACTCGACATAACACAGGCATTTGATAGAGTCTGGCACCAGACACTAATCTATAAATTAAAGAAAATAGGCACTCCACACTACATCACCTCTACTTGTGATCTATTATATTATCATTTATATTATCTATTTGCATTATATTGGAATAGTTTAATATTATTATATTATATATTTTATGATTATTTCATGTGTGGGCGTTCTTGATGAGGCTACTGCTCTAGCTTTCTCTGAACCTTACAACACCTGACAAGGATGTCGGTCCGAAGGTCGCAGACTGGTTTACTTGGCACAAATTCGGCCGGTAGTAATTGACGCCCCAGAATCAGATCGAATCTGTTATCTGCGCCAGCGGCGCGACGGCGTGGGAGGTTACTTTCTCGTTACATCTATGGAAATCGCATGAAGGGGTGCGGCCGGAATCACACCATTCCTTTAAATAGCGGAGATGCTGACCGCCTTCAGCCCCCTTTCTGTTCGATAACGCCGAGGTGAGCATTAATGATGATGGCGGGTAGTGAGGCGAGGCCGATAAGGGCGTAGGTCGACATTTTCGTCGATTTGTTTAAGTATAGTATGTTATATTATTAGATATGTGTATATGCATTTTGTCAGGATGTTTAATTCTTGAAGTATGGCTTTGAGGTTGGTTATGAAAGATTTAGGAAATTGGATGTTGGTGGCTTTAGTCGCGTTATTCAAATTGGGTGCAGTCTGCTGGGAAGTTTTATGGCGGGAAATTGTAGTTCAGTCAAGAGAAAGAGGAGCGTGATTATGCACAAAGGCGTCCATATGACTTTAATTAAAACGCAACGTCTAAGGTGTTGAAAGTACGCCCGAAATTAGAGAACGTGCTAGTACGTGCGTCCAGGGCTGAATATCATGCGTCGGCGTGGCTCGCCACAAATGGTAGCAAAAGAACTGAGCAGACGAGGGCGTGAGGAGCCAGGGCCAAGCAAGAAGGGCGTAGCGTCGATGCGAGGGGAAGAAAGATGCAGTGTAACGTATTAGCAGCGTGCCCGTGATGCAATCTATTTGGGGACGCTTGCAGAGGATTAGCCTCAACCACAGGAAGAAGGGTTTTTCCGTAAAGGGAACAACGCGAACGGGAAGACACAAGGCTTTTGGGAAATTTTCGGGCTTTAAACCTTTTCCCAACTGTTATAACAACGCGAGGGGGTGGCGTGACGTAGTATGTCACGTGGGCCTCGTCTGATATAAACAGAGTGTACAGAGGCCAGTGGGTGGGTTCTGGAGATAGTGGCGAGAACCTCGTGCGTGTGCACAAAACTTGGCGCCACGAACGGTGCATGATGCGAGCCAGGCTGCGCGAGGATCGCGTCACTCAAATTGACGAAAGCCTGCGGACTTTAGGTTCCTTGGTGACTGCGGTCACGGGGGAGCGATTGCTGTGTGCGTGGCTCGCGAGGTGATGAGTGGTTGAGTGGCACGATTCATGCCGATTCTCAATCGGATACAGATCGCTCCTGCTATCGAGACAACCAGCCGTTGGTGCGCCAGAAGGACTTTGTGTCCCAGCGTGACATCCGGTCACGGGAAGCTTAGGCGTTTGTTGAGGCGCTCAACAAAGTAGGAGTGGCGAATGCCACAATCAAAACCATCTTCAATCGGGTTAGGATCGCTCCGATGATCAGGAGATAGTAGGTCTATCAG